CCTGAAAGCGAGCTGTGAGCCTCTACTCTGAATTATCTGGTGAATTAATTATGAATTAATTATCTGATGAACGTGACATGCTCTTGCTCTCTGTAAATAAAACAAAGCCACTTCCTCGTCCGACATTAAACAGAGCCCGACAGAGGAGGGAGGGGCGGGGAGGCTGTTGCCGTGCAGCGCTTCAAGAGCTGACCTGCGTCTGAACTCAAAGTGCACAAGCAACCAACTTGAGCGTTGGCTGCGATTTTGAAGCTGAAATCGCATTCGGTGTGAACGCAGCATGAGAACATTAAAGGAATAGTCTGGACGTTTTTGAACTGATGTTCTGTTGGATAGTTGTGAGACGTTCACATCAGTCAGAGAACAGACTGTAACTTTTCCAGGGTCCTGCAGCTCTGGGGCCCCACGCTCTTTGCAGCTTTGGCCAAAACTAACATGAGATGCAGTTTTTGTTGTTGTTTTTTATACTCACAACAGAAAAGGCTAGCTTTAGCAGTTTTTCTGTCCGTTGGTTTGCAAGTATATGTTTGAAGCTAATACAGTAATGAGGTGGGAGTGAGCAGATCGGTCCAATAATGCAGTTTAAATCTTGTAACTCCACACGTCTTCAGCTACAGAACAGAACAGTTGCTTCATCCTTCTTTTTTAATTTTCCATGTCCTGGATGACTGAGAATCCACAGAAATACATGACAGTAACGTTGTCGGACCGTATCAATACTAAAGTTTGATACTTTACTTCCAGTTCGTTGCTTCATTCTGAAAATAAAAAGCTTCACCGGAGCATCCTGTCAGGTACAGGTTCAGATATGAACCCTGAACGAAACAAACATGTCAGATGATTATTTAATCTGCTCTGATGAACAACTTCAGAATCAGCGTGCTAACATGTAGCATCCATGTTTAGCTAACTGTAAACAAGCAGCTGAATATGACGTCATGTGGGTCACATCAGGGCTGTGTAGAGCTCACACTGGTGTCTGATGGAGGTTGTATTTAAAATATAATCTGACTGTTCACGATAAAAAAATCTGAATTTAGTTTTCAGACCTGCAGGGTGACTGTAGCCACACTGATTAGATCATGCTAGAAGTTTGTTGACCTCTTCAACAATCCAACTTTCAGCAGTATGGTCTTTTCCTCTCTAATCCATCAGGGTTTTATTGGATTACCTGTAAGACCAGTTGCTGAGAATAAATCTGGTGAATTCATTACATAACAATGAAAATTCAAAAAAGTTTTTATTAAATTTGGTACAAACCATATTTCTTGTTTACAATAAAAAATATTTTTTTCATCCTAAATTGTAAAAAAAAATGAAAATGTTCAAATGTACTGTTTTTAGTTGTATAATCTCACCCTGACTGGGCAGAAACCACCCTTTGATCAAACTTTAACTGGCCCGTGGGCCAGCAGTTGATAATCACAGTTGTATGTTTTCCAGCTCTGGAAACATGAAAACCAGATCGTTTTATTGTTTTCCAGATTATAAAACAACTCATATCAGTGTGGAAGATGGCTACATTGGCTAATAAAAAATAAAGAAACTCTTTCATTTAGTTTGTTGCTGTTTGCTCCACTGAATAAGATCTTTGTTACAGCTTGAGTGTTTGTGAGCTGATTGCTGAGAAGAGAGCGTGTAAACGTCCTGACTCAGTCCTGCTGCTAAAATCTCTACAAACAGTTTTTACTCACAGGAATCCAACAAACATGAAACTGGAGGGAAAAAACACAAAAGTAAATTCAGAATATTTCCAGAGTTTATTGTTTAATCAACTGAAATGATCTGTCAGATGAGTCTGCTCGTCACAGTGCTGCTTATTAAACGATAACGTTAGGTGCTCCTTTCAGACAGATTAATCCTCAGTTTGCTCTGTCTGCACAGACTTCATCAGTTACCAGGTAAGAAAAGAAACAAACAGATCAGTGTAGCTCAAAGTTTATTTTTTAAATGTGAGAATGTAGTTTGAATAAGCTCATTTTTAGGTGCGCATATTCTAATAAACATTGGTAAAATAAATATCTTTAAACAGTGTTGTATAAAGTACCACAAAGTGATACTTGAGTAAAAGTACAAGTATCTTACCAAAAAAAAAAATCACTTTGGTAAAAGTTAAAGTCTGCTTTAGGAATATTACTTGAGTATAAGTCTTAAAGTCAGATATTTTTTGTACTTAAGTATTAAAAGTAAAAGTATTGATTTAAAATGAGCAGTTAGATTTTCTGTAAGGACATTTATTAGGAGGTGACCTCCCTATGAAACTGCAGAAAAGACTATATTGTATTAAAAATAATTAATTTATGTTAAATTTAGGATGCAGCTGTTTCAGTTTATATACATATATCAAGGGGCCCAAAACTTTTCTCCAAAATGAAAAGCTCTCCGAGGGCTGTGGCCAAATACAACAATATAATTCATGAAATACAAATAAGTACAGTACTTTTATTTTAATGATTATATCCTGCTGGAGTGTGACATTATTTGTTTGTGTACAAACTAGTACAGTTTCAGAAATTACATTGAATATATA